CACTCCATTCACACGTCTTGGTCTCCAACTAATTCGGGTGATGCGAACCGAACTCGGGGAGGAACTTTCCACAGTATCACAGTTCTAAATGCGGCAGACAATAGATGATAAAATTTCTCTGTTAAAGAACAAGATTATCTCAAGAAGAAATAATACCGAGATAGAAAGGGGAAAAGCAAACATGGCATTGAATAGGAGAAATGCACTTGAGTATCTGGAATTGAAAAAGAATATGAATATTAAGACTGAGGCCAAATTACCTCATAAACTAGGCAGAGTATTCGAGTCCTGAGTGAGTCAGACACCGCAATCATTTTAAGACAAGGCGATAGTGCCGAGGCAATAAATACATGACCCCTTGAGGGCCTGATTTCGGCTAACTGAAGGGGCTCAGACCTTAGGCTAAGAACACTCGTCAAGGGCGCTCGTAAAGTGTCTTGCTTGGTGAAGGTGTTAGGTGTGTCAACTGGGGCACCAAGGGAGACGAGCTCAAGTCTATCAGGATAGTGAAGTAAACAAACACGACCCATTTTGTGATTATGTAGTGGCGGAAAATGAATAGGAGCAGGTCTAGAGAAGGCGCCAGCGCTACTTGGCCAAAACGGCATGATGGCAAAACTTGTCACTCGGCTGTCGGGCTTTTTGAGACCAACTTGCCAGATTTGTTTCTGTGCTGGCTTTACCGGCTCATCTGCTCCTTTGTCAATCTGTTGCAAGCTTATGACTTGCATACGGGCATCATTTCCAACGGCAAGAAGCTTGTCATCGGTCGAATCATTGGTGAAATTACCGAGTTCATCAACATCAGAGCCTTGTAGAAAGACGAGCCCGTGAATATCGCGATGAAGACAACGCAGCTCTCCAGCTGCTTGCCAAATATCTAAAATAAAAGTGACTTTGAAAATGAGCAAAGGAAAACCTAATAAAGGCGAAGTATAGACTGACCTCCACCCGAAGTAAGGGAAACACTAAATGCGCGAATTGTAGAATCAACACCAGCAGCAAACACTGTCTGTTCATCGGGAGATCTACACAGCACTAGTATGTCGGCACGGTGACTCGAAAAGCTAAAGAGCAGACCTCCGACGTCGACATTCCATATTCCTAAGGTTCCAGTGCTATCTCCAGAGAATAGAAGACCTCTACAAGGATAAGGAAGATTTGACTATAAGTGCTGCCACGGAAAAAGCTACATAAAGAATAGTCTCGTAAGGCATCTATAAAGAATAACAAGACGCGCACCTGGCGAAAATAAGACACCAAATGATGGGCTTATTAGATTTATCGCAGGAATCTAAATTAAATGAATGAAGTATGGTGCTCGTTTTCCAATTTAACACACGCAGAACACCATCATTGCTGCCGGCAGCGAGCTGGTTCTTGTGCAATGCCAAGCAGAGTACCTTGCCTAATTTAATAAAAATGTAAAATGGATGAAAGCAGTTACCACACAGTTTGGGTAGCGTTTTTTCCAACTCAAGTTCAG